GACTATTGTGACTGGAATAGCCATGAATATGGATGAGCAAGTATCCCTGCCATATGATACATGACCAGGAGCGATATAGCTGGATCATATAGTTGACATTTCTCTCTCTCTCTTTCTCTCTCTCCTTTTCTTTTCTTTTTTTTTTGAGGAATCTCCACCCTAATTTCCATAGTAGTCATACCAATTCGTACTTCCATCAAAAGTAAATAATCCTTCTTTTGCCCAATATTGAAGCCAGGATTTATTGCCATTTATTAACTTTTAATTTTTCTACTCTCTTCATCAGTTCCTGGAGGAGATTTGTTTGTGTTTGTCCTATATAGTGGTGGTTACAGTACTTGGCAGAATGATGCATTGAAAGCGACGGCCCCTGTCTAAGTTCCCTGCTCTGGACTGCTGGACACACGCTTGTGATAGTTAACTTAATATTAACCAGGGTAGGCTAAGCTAGAGTCTCAAAGACGATACTGTGAAATTTTTTTTAAAGATATTATAAGCATTCAAACTACAGACTGTACATAAAACAGGTCCCCTCCCTCATAATATTGCTAACATGGCTGTGTCTCATCTACTTCAGTGAAGGTCTTTTTTCTCTGTGTGACAGCCCTGGCTGTCCTGAAACTTACCCTGTAGACCAGGCTGACCTTGAACTTAATTAAAGATCCTTCTGCCTCTGCTTCCCAAATGCTGGAATTAAAGGCAAGCTACATGTCCGCCTGGCTAATTGAAGGTCTTAAAAGACCGAGGAAGTGGGAATGGAGAGATGGCTCAGTATTTATGAGCACTGGCTGTTCTTTGAGAGGACCCTGGTTCAATTCCCAACACTCACATAGCGGTTCACAGTTACTGTTTGCAACTCTACTTCCAGGGGATCTGGCACCCTCATGCAGGCAAAATACCAATGTACATTAAATAAAAATAAGCAATTGCAAGGAAAAGACTGAGGAAGAAGGTCCACCTGAGGCTTCAGACTGCAGCATCAGCTCTTCCTGGGTCTGGCCTGCTGGATTGTCTTGCACCTGCCCTCTGGGTTTGAGACTGGCCAGCTCCCACAGTTGTGAGAGCCAGTTCCTTAAAATAAATCTCTCTCTCATACCCTATGAGTTCTAATTCTCTGTTGAACCCCTAGTAACCATTCCTTCATGTTACAAAATACTGTGGAATTTAATATGCTATTTTGGATGAAACTATGTTTGGGGTAAAGATAGTTTTGTTTGGAACTCATTTATTAGGGTGAGGCCCAAGATTGGAATCCTTTTTTTAAAAAAGTGTTTCAGTACACGAGCAAGATAAACATCTCTCTTTAGTTCAGCTTATTTACCATTGGGGAGCAAAAAATAGGACATCCATTGACATTTGGATATGTGCTGGAATTGGGTTTTATTTGGGACCACAACTTTAGGTCCCTTAGGAAGCATAAATACTTAGTCCAGTTCATAGCTCAACTAGGCGGCAACAGTGCATAAAGTTTTCCTTGGAAATTTGTGGATCTGTGCTTAGCCAACAGGAACTTTAAGCACAAGAAGCACTGAGAGATGAACCTCCTTCTTAAAAAGTGTGTGGTGTGTGCAGCTGATGCCGATGTCTTTCTCGGCCTCTCTTTACCTCATAGATTGAGGCTCTCTGTCTTGAACACAGAGCTTACTGATTCAACTAGTCCAGCTAGTCAGTTTGTTCTAGGGATGAATTTCCTGCCCCTGCTTCCTGAGCCCTGGGGTTACAGGTGTGCTATTAAGTCAACCTAGCATTTAACTGGGTGCAGAGGATCAAAGGAATCTGGTCTTCACTCTTGTGGGGCAGGCACATTATCCATTGAGCCATCTTCCCAGCCCATATTCTGTAACATGAGGGCCGGCTTGTTGGGGTATCTGTCCCGCCCAGTACCCCACAGCAGGCAGGCCCCAAAGAAAATCATACACAGGACTCCATAAGTTTATAAACTGATTGGCCCATTAGGTCAGGCTACTTATTAGCTCTTATAACTTATGTTACCCCATTATCCTTATCTATGTTAGCATTCCTGTCTGGCTTTCCCGCCGATACTGCCTGCCTGGCCAATCAGTGTTTTATTAAAATATGATTGACAGAATACAGACAATTCTCCCACACCAATATTCCTTACCAAAAAAAAATTATTTAGGTACAAATAATAGAGACCAATTATCTTTGGTCTCTCCCAAAGATGCTTCTTGCCTGAGGAGTCCAGAAGTGGGGTTAGATGCCCTGGAACTGGAGTTATGGGAGATTTTGAGCTGCTGTGTGTGTGACAAGATCTGACTCTAGATCTTTTGCAAGAGCAATAAGTGATTTAACACCTGAGCCTTCTCTCTAGGTTCTCATATTTTTTTTTGTATTTTTGTCCATTTGTATATTTTTTTTGTATGATGTTTTACTCTTTTGACTTTTGGGGGGACACAGCTTCCAAATAAATCACATATGGAATCTTATTATTTCTTATGAATGCCCAGTCTTAGCTTGGCTTGTTTCTTGCCATTTTTCTTAACTCAAATTATCCTGACTACATTTTGCTCCTGGCCTTTGATCTTTCTCTATTTCTGTATAGCTTTCTTTACTTCTTTCTCCGTGGCTTGCTGTATAGCTGGTGGCCCCTGGTTTCCTCCTCTCCTTGTTCTCTGGCTCCTTGCTCTTTCTCCCAGAGTTCTCCTTCTATTTATTCTCTCTGCCTAAAGCTCTGCCTACCCTTGCTCCTGCCTTGCTATTGGCTGTTCAGCTCTTCATTAGGACCATCCAGTGTTGTAGACAGGCACAGTGACACAGCTTCACAGAGCTAAACAAATGCAGCATAAACAAAAGTCACACACCTGAAAAGAATATTTCTCAACATTTAAAAATATATTTTATTGTGCTTTTACTTATTTTACATACTGACAACAGTTTCCCCTCCCTTCTCATGTTCCCTCCCTGCACCTTGCTTCTACTTCCCTCCCTCATCCACTCCTCCTCTGTCTCCATTCAGAAAGGGGCAGGCCTCCCACTGGGAGTCAACAAGCATGGCACATCCAATTGATGCAGGACCAAGCCTCCCCCCCCCACCTCACCACCCCCACTGCAATTTTGAGCAAAACACTCAGGATGGGGAATGGGTCCCATGTTCCTTTTTTTTTTTTTAAGGATTTTATTATGCATATAGTGTTCTGCCTGTAGGCCAGAAGAGGGCGCCAGATCTCATTACAGATGGTTGGGAACCACCATGTGGTTGCTGGGAATTGAACTCAGGACCTCTGGAAGAGCAGCCAGTGCTCTTAACCTCTGAGCCATCGCTTCAGCCCCCCTCCCCCTTTTCTTTTTTATGCTACAGTTTTTTTCTGCTTTTGCTTATTAATGTCCCAGTGAAATTATTTTGATACTATTTCACAAAAATTGTGACGGCAATTACGGAATTCAAATAATAAAATTTACTTACAAACGTTTTAAGAAATGTAAACCTCTTAATGGCACAGGCTGAAAGAAAAATGACAGCTCTTTAAGTCTAGGACAGATAGTTTTTAGGGAAGGGAAGTCTGGAAGATGCTACAGTCAAGCAGCTGTTATTTCTGCCTTGTAATTGACAAGTTGGTATTCTCAGAGTGCCCCAGGGAAATTGCAAGCCCATTTGCGCCCTTTGGAAAGCCCGGAGGCTGTCGGATTTCCACAACAGCTGTCTCAGCGAACCCTCCTGGGCTCAACTATCCACTGGCCAGTTCCCTTTTTGTCTTCTGAAGCCCTGACATGAGAATCTGGCAGCTAGAACAAGGTTGAGAGCAACTGACACAGGAAACGGTGGTGGCTGGACCGATGCCTGCCTGCAGTTGAATGGGGACGCACAGCCAGGTCTTAGCAAGGAAGCAGCTGTTGGTCCAAACATCGGGCTCAATGTCACGAGCTTGCTTGTTTCCTCCTTTAAAGTGGTTTAACTGCCTTAGGAAGGTAACACTAATGCTTGGATGCAGTATCACTCACCCTTAACCTTGCAGTTTAAGAGGCGAGAGAAATAAGAAATAAACTCTCATTTAATGTTTCCTATGTTGTATGTGAGGCTGTGTGTGTGTTTGTGTGTGTGTGTGTGTGTGTGTTGTGTGTGCGTGTATTGCATGCTGCTAGGGAGGTGAATTATGGTCACTGCCTGGCTTTGAACCACACTAGCTGTAAGTCACCTAACCTCTTGTGTCATGTTTTTCCCGAAACGATAACACCTTAGGATGATCACGATGATGTCTGAAGCAACTAGGACCATTTACAGACATGGTAGGTGCTATACACATGTTTGCTTTTATCTATGTTAGTCAGTGTTAATACAGCTCCATTTAGTCTTTGGAAATGGAGGGAAATGAGGCTCGTGGAGATTAGGTCCATCACAGGAGATGGCAGAGCATGAAACCAAACTCTGATTTATCTGCTGTGCCCTCCCCCCAACCCCAGCACGACCAGGCATGCTCAACGCTATCAAATTTCCTCTCCTGTTTGCCAGCTCAGGGTTGAGTTTATCAGCCTTTCTTTGGACTGGAGAGGGTGAAATCCTATATGACTGTCTTTAATCCACCATTCCACCCATCTCAGGAGAAAAAAAAAGCCAATATTCAACATGCTGGGGGGTGGGGGTGCATGGAAGGGAGTAATTTCCTTCTTCTAGTCCCCTTTCCTTCCCCTGACTACCAGGGCGTAGTCATAACTAATATTCAGAGCCCTTATTTTAGGCTCGGGGATTTAAGGATGAAGACAGGTTCCTAAGACAGCTTTGCCTAACTGAAATGGGAGACGTAAAATGTAACTAAAAGTTTCTAATAGCGACATTGAAAAAGTAGGGGGAAAAAGTGAAACTTAAAAATACCATTTAGTTTAAATATCTTAACCCGGGACCAATGTGAAAATTATGTGGGAGATAGTATTACCTTTTTGGGTATTGAGTGTTTTCTACACACACTGCCCCTGAACAGACATGATGAGGCTGTTAACACCCACAGCCACGCAGACCCGCATACTGCAAGAGCCTACTTTATGTATGTATTTAGGCCCATTTTATTCATGTAACTTCATTATGTCTGAAATTGTCTCCCCTGCTTTCATTTTCAGATACTTTTGGAGGAATAACGGAGTTGCCTTTTCTCCAAAATTCTCCTGTTTTCTTCCTGCAGTCGAGATTTCTTGTGTGGTTAGTGACTCGATCTGCCCGCCTGGACTGCTCACCACTCAATCAGACATGATCTGAAGGGCATTAGCAGGACTCAGATCTCCTTTGGGAAGTCTTTTCCTGTGTCTTGTGCTTCTGTAGGCACCATAGGGCCTCCGCTGATGACAGCAGTCAGATTAGCCAAGCAGAGGCTTGATAAGGGCTGAAATTTCTTGGACCGGATGACAGGCAGAGTCCAGAGCCCGGGCTATGGTCGGGGCCTACTCAGGATGCGCAGTCTGTCCACCACGAGCATCCCAGCATCCGTTTGCGCTCAGCTGTGACAGATCCGCCCGGGCCTCCGCCTCCTCTAGGGCCTGGAAAACAGCAGGAATCTCCCCGCCTGCCCGGCGTCCAGAGCATCCCCTCCCCCTCCCCACAGGACCCAGGGCGGAGTCGCCCACCTGTCACCAGAACGTCCCACGTGGGTCAGCTGGAGGAGGGGTTGAAGGGAGGGAGAAAAGGCAGAGGCGTGAGAGAGGCAGACGTGAGAGGAACCGAGGAGGACAAAGGCTGAGAGCTCCGAACCGCAGAAGAATCTTGAGGAGCCCCTAGACACCTAAAGACAGGTAAGGATGGGGCAGGTGAAAGAAAGGGGACAGAAACTAGGCTTGCGGAAAGAGAAGGAAAAGATGGGAGCGAGGAAGGGGTTGTGCACACGCGACGAGATAAGATGGATATCTGCGTTGCAAGTGAACGATTCTAGCCAGAAGACGGGCTAAGGGTGGGGGAAGGAGGAACCCAGGCGTCTGCCCCTTTAAGGTTGCCAAGGCAACCGCTCTGGCCAGAGCGAGGCGCATTGACGTCAGCAGCCGAGCTCTGATTGGCCGCGGTCGGCTCGTTTCCGGTGGAGCTGTCGCCGAGCCGCTATCGCAGAGTGGAGTGAGGCTGCGAGCTGAACCCTGAGGACGCCCGGTACCCCGGCAGCCTCGCCCCGTTGCAAGTCCCGCCCGCGCCGCCACCCGCCCGTCCGCAGGTGAGTGCGGGCCCGCGGGCTGCTCCGGGAGCC